CTCAAACTCCCTGGCAGTGCTTCCTCTCCAGCACTGGTAAGCTCTCCCTGTGCCCGTGGGTGTGACTTACAGGCCCTGGATGCTCTCTTTAAACCATGTTCACCAGTTATCTGATCAGCAAGCACTGTGCCCAACACTTAGCACACAATAGGCAGCAAAACGGCTCTGGACGGTGGGAAATGAAATTTTCATACTAAGAAGCAGATCATTACAAACAGTCATCTACGCCAGGAAGGAGCTATACAGGGTGGCCTGGACTCTGAATCGGTTGGACGGGTCTGGCATGGGCGCAGTTGCACAGGGGAAGTGGTTATGACCTATTCAGGGAGATCAGAATAAGCTTTTCTGAGGAGAAAGTGATGCTGGGACTGAATGTGCTGGGGGGATTAATAGATAAAGACTGTAGAAGAAACTCTGTGGCAGAAGGGGGCATGAGCAAGCAGGAGACTGAAAGCAGTTCAGTAATGACAGCAGAGAGGATGAGAGGCTCAACATGGGGAGGCTGGGGCTATGGGCAGAGGACAACCATGCAGAGCCAAGGTAAGGAGCTTAGTGTTTATCCAAATAGTAATGGAGAAGTTTCTCAAGGGTTTTTACATAGCTGTTACCTGGGAAAAGTACTGGAAGCCATCGAGTTGTTGTGCAGAAACTTGCTGGAAGGAAACCAGACAAGACTTGAGTGTAACTCGGGCTGTGGTTGTAACAGGAGGGAGTATTTTAAAGAATCTAATAGTCACAAGCCCCCATGAGTGGCTAATGTGACTGATCAGATTGTAAAACACCTACTGAGCCCCATCCAGCAGTGAGCAAGGTCATTTGCCATTGAAGGCCACACACACATAGACATGGCTTTATCGTCTTTTCTTTGTTCCTATGCAACTGGGGCGGGAAAGGGCTGGGGTCCACCCCACTTGCTCATTGATGGAGTCCTGGCCGTCCTGCTCTTTGTTCACTCTTCTCCAAATACTGAGATGTTCTCATTTCTCTGAAGCCACAGGATGGTTAGATGCCAAGGGGAAGAAAATGACTCTAGAAGCCTGTAGTCCTGGCCACATCCTCTGACCTATTTGTACACTAGGGCTTGGGAAACAGGCCCAGGACATAACACCTGTTTCCTACTAGCCACTGATCATTGGGTCCCCTTTGTGAACCTTGTTTATAAGTCTGTGGTCGAAAGTAGAAATTCAGCTTTTCCAGGTTACCTGATCATAGCATTTTTAATTTATTTATTTTTAAAGATTTTATTTATTTTTAGAGAGAGGAAAAGGGAGGGAGAAGAGGGAGAGGAACATCAGGGTGCAAGAGATTCATCGATTGGTTGCCTCTTGCATGCCCCCAGCTGGGGACCTGGTGAGCAACCCAGGCATGTGTCCTGACAAGGAATGGAACTGGTAACCTTGTGGTTTACAGGTCTGCACTAAATCCAATGAGTCACCCCAGTCAGGGCCAATTGTAGGATTTTTATTCTCAACAAATCTCCAGCACCATTTCTAATACCTTCACTGTTCATTTGTTTGGTTCATTCATTCATTCCTGTGTATGTGTGAGGCACTGTTCTATATTCTGTGAACAAAATGCTTTTCAGAAGCTTACTCATTCAGGAGGCCGCCAATCTTCTCCTAATGAACCATTTTAAACTTTCCTGAACTTAAAAAAATAAAAAACACACACAAAAAAACATTTGGAATAAACCAACCTAACCTTCACGAGAGTCTGGGCACCACAAACCATCAGTCAGTTGTTTCCATTTGGATTTCATCTGCTACACATAGTTATTCAGGGGGAAGAAAACAAAGGAGAGAGCGAAGAATGGAGAAAGATGGAGAAAGAAAAATATGAGAGAAAAAAAGTAAGGAAGTAGTCCCAGCACATCCTCGTGGACGTGTACCCCTTCCTCCTGCCCGGTGAAGTTGGCTGCCGCGTTCCAACCTTACTGTTCATGACGTTTGCTTTTGCTTCATGGGCAAATAGCCAGGTTCCTGTTCATGGTTAACCGATAGCTTGGGATTGAGTTCAGTAGAGTCTTACTTTTGTGGCCTCTTTGTTCCTGACAAGTCCACTGACTTTTCCCCCCTGTAGCATCAATCTCCAGAATGTCCCATCCCTCCCATAGTCTGATAATGGAATCATAAATTTATAAAATTCCTGGCATGCCCACTTCATTAACAGTTATTCCTTAAAGATCAATTCAATGCAGACAAAGCCCTCTCATAACTTATTTTGAAAGCTACCATCAGCAAGTTGGGAATTTATTACATTCTGTGTCCAAATCTGCTCTATCTTGCCTTTGTGTCACTACTGAAATCTGATCTAGGAATTGTTTAGGGATTTATAGTTTACAAATTATCTCAATAGTCACAGTGATACTGATAGATATTATTATTCCCATCATCCAGATGAAACACCAAGGCTCAGGAATAACTGACTTGAACAGTTACACGTAGATCGTGGTAGCGCCACAACTTAAGTCTCTGGATGCTACGTCCCTCGTTCTGTACCCACCCACGCAGCCTGCAGCCTATCGCCAAACTGCACCCCTGCTGTCTCACTATCCTCCTCAGCAAGTTCACATACAGCTCACGCAGAGCTGCCCCACGCGGCACTGGTTATCGGGCTCAAGTGCCATCATCCATCTGCTCTCAAACCATGACAGCCAACTCAGCAAACCACATGAGACAACTGCTCTCAGCCACATCAATTGTGGAGTCCCAACTTGTTCTGAATGTGGTTCACGCAGAGCTGTCCTCTTCCTGCCATTTGATTTTTGTGCTCCGGAGGTCAGTTTCCATAAAGAAACGAAGGGCAACTATCATACTGAGGACTGAGTGTATGGTGGCACCTTGAAGGAAATGGTCAAGGAAAAGAGAGTATCAGATCAAGGGGCTAGTGGAAGTTACATGGCATGAACAGTGTAAGCATCATCAGCCTGGGAATGCTGACTTCAATGGCAAATAATGTTAATACCATTCCCTGAAGACTGTGCTAGAGTAACTAATTAGCTCTAGATCAATTAGTTCTACTTCCAGAAAAGCACCCCCAGTATCCATTTCCAACTTCCCAGTAAGGGACAGGTGACCACTAGCATATTTTTGCCCTCCGGTTTGTGAATCTGACAAAGCATTAATCTCCCACTCCCATAATAGAAAGTTCCTTCTAAACAAAGCACATACTTCCACATTCCCACAGTTCAGGTTTCAATCTTATTCATAAGGTTGGTATTTTAACTAGGTGATAATTTCCTACACTGTTCTCTATGTCCACTGGTTTGGTCTATATATTTTTCCATCTTTTGTTATATTTTCTAGAAAACTTTCCTAAAGTACGTACCCCTATTACTTAACCATTTGTTGATAAATGAGATACAAATTTACTCAGCATAGCACCCATCTCAGCAATCTGCTTTAATAACCTCAAGTACAATAATGCATCCTGCAATTGCCACCATTATAAACACCTATCAGATGTTCAAATAAAGATGCTTGTAGCCTCAACCATCTATTATTGCCATCTATCACAACGCCTTTTACTAAGTGATCAATGCTGAATTAATACTACGCACTGACGAGGACTTAAATCAACGGAAAGCACAATTACTATCACGGGTGATCTATTTCGTTGGTCCCCTTCACCATCTTGACACAGGCATCACACACAGGACACTTGAAAGTGATGAAAAAACTGAAATGATGAGACCCAAATTTTATCTTTAGTTCACTTAAATTGTACCACTCCATTGATTCTCTATCCATCAGGTAACTATAATTTAACACCTTATCAAGTTCACCAAGATGGCGGCAGGCAGGAGAGCCAGCTCTCTGAAAAAAGTTCAAAATTCTGTCCAAAGATATAACCATAAAAATCTCCACTTTTGTGCATAAATTATCGACTCAGTAACAACACATTAATTCACGTGACTTCATTTTTTCTTGTAATCTTCAGAAGATGTGAGAAGTACCACAGAGTGGCTCCCAACCCCTCTCCCTACTACTCCTAATTGTTAAAGAAAAACCGGGAGCTAGAAAATGGATTAGTAGACTTACCAGTGGTATTACTATGCATAATTGAACGAAGCACTATGTTAATAAAGCCAGGGTTGTAGGATTAACCTTTACAAAGGCCAATTAGTTTACATTCCTATTTGTCCCAAGGACCTGGACTGCTCTCCCAACTGCAGACAGCTTTCTTACAATCTGTCCCACTGGTCACACAATAGGGGACTGGCAAGGTGGTAAATGGATAATAAAACAACCTTCACTAATGGAAAAAGAAATCCCATAGAATACGTTAATAAATTCAAGTCTAAAATACTGCACGACAGTAGTGTCCTGAATTTTAGAACTGCCCAATACCATCCTTCACAAAGCTACAGTAAACGCCCAATTGTTTCCCAATTTGTGTAACAAATTATTACCTCTACAGGCATGCTTTCCCCTTTTTAATATTAATCTACATGTTACTGTTTTTAAAAATTTACCTTTAGATATTTGGTTCAGAATGTTGTGAAAAATTCAGCTAGGAAATTATTCATAAAACTGTATTCTGTATTTTTTTTTATTTTTGAAACAGCCAGTGTCCACATTTAAAATGCAGAATTTGCAAATATAAATTAGTCTAATAATTCAATTAAAAATAAAACAAAACAATTTCCTTTAGCATCACAATACATAAAAGGGTATTATCAACTCCAAATGGCAAGGTTAACTTTATGACAAGAATGCCAGAAGCTGGAAACTCATTAAAACTCTTCATGAATAGCTCAGTTTAAAGAACATTTCTATGTTCCATGATTATGCATGAAAAAAAATTTCATTGCATTATAAAGGCTCAGTAATTCATTCATGGCATAATATGAAGTTGAGCAAGATTTTATTTTTACAATGACAATAAAATATGCATTTAAACAAAAAAAAATACCCTCCCAATTGTTTAAAAACAATTCTATTTGGAGGGTAAAATATATTTTAAAATATATTGACTCACCAAATTTCAATTTAGGCTGCTGACTACTAATATGAAAGTTTTTATTTAAAAATATCACAAATATCCTTTTAACAGTGAAAATTTCAATGTGGTAAGTTTCACTGCAAAGCAATTTTCACCTGAGTAGATTTTGAAATTTAGTGCGCTCATATATTTGGGGGAAGGTGGGGAAGGAAAAATCCACTTATATCAGATAGTAAGTTTGTAGTTGATTCTTTCACATTTATTTCACATTGAGTTAAATGAACATTTGCTGTGACCTTCCCAGGACACACGATACCTCCCTTTTTCCTGTAAATTTGTTCTGGCATTTTATGAATTCTCGGTGTCCATAATATTTCCACTTCGTTACCCATTCAAGCATAGCAACTCCATTCAGTTCTATACAACAGTGTCTATAATATATACACGTTTAATTATTAATAGGAAATAGAAAATAAAAATTTACAGTGATTGAAAAAGGGTCAGAAAATGGGATACGAATAGTAATACTGTATAATCAGAATATCCTATTATCCTATCAATTCCAAAGACAGGGTTTTCCCTTTATTAGTTGAAATACAAAAAAGGCGTTGGGGATCCCAGGAAAATAACACTATATGTCAGAAAATTCAACGTGCTCCACCATCAGGATTTCCATCACACATTTAATTTCTTCTGTACAATTTTTATAAACTTGTTTTTCTCTTCAAAATCATTAATTTCCAGATTAAATTCAGCACTACACAGTATGCCCTTTAAGTAAAATGAGGTTACCTGCTTTATTTGGATACCAAGTTCCCTTCCAGACAGCATTAAAATAAAGACAAGTAAGACTACACGGATAAAATCCAGTATAATTCAAATCCAACAATGAAAAATTTCCCCCATATTTGTTGCAAAATTCTTTCTACTGAAATGCTTTGCTACAATAATAAAAAGCATACATTACATATAAAAGATACCAGTGTACTAAAAAGTGACAGAAGTGAACTAGCAAATCCTTCAAAGCACATTTATATAAATGACTAGCATTTAAAAACGTTTCTCCTATAAAATGTAGGTCATATACATTTAAAAATTGGCGGTTTTATTTCTAAAGCAGTGATGTGTGTGTGTTCAAATAGCCATTCTGTACAGTATATCTACTCAATTCAAACTACAATAAATTTGTCTTCCTTTGTATTGAAGTTGAATAAGTTCATCTGATCAGCTGAGAAATCGAGCTTGAAAAATAAGTATCTAAAAATCAAAGTAGAAAGTTCAGAATGACTGAAATGTAGATATGAAATATGAAGAGAACTATTTATTTCACAATGGAGCTGAAGTCACCTCAAAACTTATGGGCTTGAATCTAAAACAGAAACAAATATTAAAATCCAAAGCAAACCATAATATTAGGTAGCAGTACAGAAGCAGGAAAAAAACAAACAACACACCCCCTTCCTTCAGTGTGATGGGCACTAAGTTTTGCAGTCTTCCTCCATCTTGCAGAAGAGTGGTAAGGCCATTCAATGCTTAGTGAAAGTGAGTACAGATGAAGTCAGATTTAGCCTGTCTCCCCTGCAACTTCAATTATGCTGTGTAAACAGTGTTACGTTCCAATAGGAGGAACAATGGAATTTGCTTATAAAAACTGATTAAAGATAATTAAATGAAATAAGGATAATTAATAACTCTGAAATGCTTTTTAGAACTTTCCTGATGCTACTGGTAAAATTAGCACTGCTATGTATTATTGCTTACATACAGTACAACATCATATGCCTTCTAACATAAAGCAGTACTGTGATTTGTTTGTACATATTTACAGATTCTTAAAAACAAGCTGTAAAAACACTACATACTTTCAGACAATACAAATTAGCACATTGGTACTCACTTCAAAACAAATGGAATGCATAACATTAATAAACATCATAAAGGAAGACTCACATAAAAGTCCTTGATTGTCAAGACACGTTTATATATAAACTCTAACTGTGCAGAATTAAAGATTCAATCATAGGTACATCCTTATTTGATGAACCATATTTACAGCATGGAATTGCATAAAAAAATAAAATAATGTTTACAGGGTTTTACTTTTTTATCCATTGGATTAAAGAAAGCAACAAACACAAGAAATGTTTGTCTGCTTTAATTTGTTTCCTACCTAATTTTAAGTGAATAAAGGAAACATACTGTTTTATTTGCAAAATATAGCAAAAACAACTGGAAAATTATTTCCCTGAAATAAAGTAATTTGAAACGGAAAAAAGTTTAAATTAAATTGCAGAGTCAAAAAGTTTCTGATTATAATAGTGCTTCTTCAAGTAAATATACTGTGGAAAAAAATGAGTTCTAGTTTAAAACGTCCTAAGTCTAAGAAATGTAGTACTACAGTAATGCCTACTTTTAAAGTTTCCCGGCTTTTAAAATTTAAACAGCCCTTTAAAAACCCAAATTAATAAAATGAAACAAGTGGCAAAAGATCTAACCTAGCTGGCACTTGACAAGTTTCTCTCACCTGTGGAAATGAAAGCCTCCCCTGAGCACAAGGCCTCTTTAGCCGCTCCCTCAGAGAGAAAATCGCCCGACCACTGACAGTCCTCAGCCAGAGCTAAAAGGATCGATCTCTATGGCATCAAGTAGAAAATTTGCAAGTGATCCAAAACCTTTAACAGCTACTCAAATATTCCCAACAAAACAAAATGTGTGCAGTAAGTTAAAATGTGAGAGTAGGTCCTACGTGAAATAGCACCTCATTCACATTGACCTAAAGTTCAAGGGTGGAAATTTAAAAGAACAATTTTGCTCACTAAAAGTAATGAGAAACACAAACTGCAAAAGGATATCTCATATCCTCAATATTCTGATCTAAAGCAACACAAAAAGCTACTTGCTTTCTCTATTAATGCCCAGATAGAAGTAACTTTCTAAACCAAACAGGGAAACCCAAAATGTTGAGATGTTTATCACGATGATAATACAAGGTAACTCCGGTAGGCATTTAGAATTTCACAGTAAGAGAATTAACCATACTTAAACGGTAAGTCAGAAAGTTAGGCCAAGATCGTTTTCCTCAAAAATGCTCATAATGGGGTGGAAATGTCTGCCATTAGACAGATTTAAAGAAATGTGCTCAAGGCAGGAATGCAACATCTGAAATTCTGCTTGCTTAACTACCATTTTCAAAGGCCTTCCTTCCTTAGCTTTACGTAACTGCTCAGCAGTAGAGTTATGTTCTAAAAACTGAGAGCTGCTGTTAAAACAAACAAAAAACTTCATACTGTACCAGGAACAACATCAAGTTCTCAACAGAACAAAAATTTTGATCAGGCTCAAGAAGTATCAACTCAGGATATAAATGCCTACTCTCATCAGTTAGTAGTATGAGAAAATTACAAATGCCTACCTAGGGCAAGCAGTTCCATTTTTAACACTTCACCTGAATGAAGGCTTCGTGCGATGGTGATGTGCAACTCCACACACACCATTCTTTAGAGCCAATAATGACAGAACTTAAATATCTGCCTCAAAGAAGTCTACAATTCTTGAAAAATTGGGCAGCAAAGAAAGCTGTCAGATGGAGAAATGAGTATTTCAAGCAAAGCTTAATAACCGAAGTGTAGAGAAAACCACATTAAAGATAATTTATATTCCTTACCATAAAAACACCAATATATTCAAAATAACTGTCAAAGATGTTTAGGGTGACTATTTCTTTGTTCCCTTTCTTTATGAGAACACTCTTGGGATAATATTAAATAAAAGAAAAAATAATTTAAATGTATAACATTCTATACTGAAACAAAGACTACAAACCTACAGGGCCAATATAAAAGATGGAAATTAACAATAAATTTTCACTTTCCAAGGGTATTAATTTTAGATTATCACTGGTACTGTATCAGTGTGTGCATTATGACAGAGATGGTGAAAACTTTAAAAAAATGAAACTACTGTTATTTTTCCAAAACTTAAAACTGTCCAATGTATAACTCAAACCATCACTCTTCAGAAAAGTATATAATGTATATATGTATATATATAAGCACTACTTTTTGTACCATGCTATATTATTTTAAGACAAAGTATTAAAAAAAAAACATTCATGGTATAAGGATAAAGTCTGCAGTTTATTTAGATTTTGAAATGCAACAAAAAGTTTCCGATCACTCGTCTAGCTGAAAAAAAAATTGTCGTTACTAGAATTAGTAAACACTTTTGGATTGTGAAATTGCAATGAGCAGTGTTCATTAAAAAGTAACTCAAGATAAAATAAGCAATTAAAATGCCCATTTCTTTAGTTTCTCTGGATACTGTTTAATTATCCAATCTATCAAGAGTCTAGAAAGAAAAGAATTAAGCCAGGTTTTACATTTCCAAAGATAACCCAATTTCCTTTTATTGCCGAAAATTAAAATTGTCAATTATGAGATGATTATGACACAACCATATCAAACCTAAAAATCTAAATCTTTTTTTAACTTTGAGAAATCAAAAATACCAAATAGATTCTAAGTGCTCTATGTTAACTGAAGTGTATATGTAAAGTAAAATACAATTAAGCTTTAAAACGTGGAATATACATTTGTATAAGCATTATGTCCTTGGGAATGTAATCTACAGAATATCTTCTTACTAAAACTTCAAAATCTTGATACCTGCACGTGAAAAATCTTAAAAAATATCTAAGTACAACTGTACAAAGAAACTGACACCAATATGCATACTTCCATAGAAGTGAATGCTTCAACAGTTACATATTTTGGTAAAACTTTAGAAAGTATGCATATTTTAAAAGTAATTAGGCTTTTAAATAGTGGAGTCTTAGACTATCCGATTTTTATTACTTTTTCTTTAAAAAAAGTCAATATAATGCAAAATGAAAATCAAGGGTATATGGCGTATCATTCTTTTTAAAAGGGTGGTTTCTTGGTTTCTTCCCCCCGACACAGGACACACTAATTTATTTAAGCCATAATCTCTTGACATTTAAACTTTTAAATTCACTCTGTAAAGTAAAATCAGAATCCCTGCTGAAGTGCATGACTATGCTGAAAAACTTAAGAAACAGTATGAGTAAATTTCACACAATTACTAAATTCCTAAGAATGTACAATGTTATCAGTTAGGAAACAATTGTGCGAAAGTCTTTTTTTCCTTTTAAAAGTGGTGTAGGTGGAATAGCAAGTTTCTGATCTAAAACAAGTAATGCATTGCTTCTATAAAGGTGACAACATGTAAGGCAGTTCAAAGAATGCTGACTAACCAAACAAAATGCAGTTATTGGATTATCTTGCTATTCATATCAGCTTAACTTGTTATATCGCACTGCTCTTAAATCTGTACAGCACTCCATTTTACACAGAGTAACCCCACTCTCGATTAATCTGTTCTAAAGTGCCAGTATTATTTACACATTTTTTTTTTAGCCAAAAGTCTGGCCAGTTGTGGCATCAGGTGAAGATGTCATCCCAGCTCTATTATCATTTACATTCACCAAGGGAAATTCTGGAAATTCAGCACTTGTCCCTGGTCCCCGAAGGTTCACCTGTCCATTGGCAGTGCTAAATTGAGTAGCTATTCCAGCTCTTGATCCGTGATATGGAGCACGAAAGGGCTGTTCAAAGGAGCTCATTTGGTAAGCTTGGTGGACAGGTTGAGCCTCAGCTTTCTTCTGAGAAGTCACTTGATCCAAAAAGTCCTGTGTGGATGTGGCAGAAGCATGGTTTGTCTCATCACCTGAAAAGGGAAATGAGTGCTGTGAATCACCTACTATTAGTCCAAAGTGGGACTTATCTGGAGTTGTTCTTAGTGGAGAATTCATTCCTGATCGAAAGCTATTGATGGGCATGGCTGCATAGACTTGCTTGTCTATGGAAGAGAATGCTGGCTGATTTGGAAGAGTCTGGTTATCAGTCACAAAGTTAAGGCTCGGGCTATTCAAATAGGCATCATTTTGGCTAGTTCTGTCCAAAGCCTGCTGCAGAAACTTTGAGTATTCCTGCAACATGTTGGCTTTATCTGATGAGGATGCTTGGGAGCTTGATCCAACATTCTCCGACTGGGTCACCTCAGGTACCTCTGAAGAATTTATTGATATGCTAGATGTCACCTCTGTGTCCGCAACACTGAATGATATCTCATGCTGTCCGTTAGCTTTATGGGAATAATGATCCAACAGAGTCTGCAGTACTTCGTCTGGAATAACATTTTTGTCATGATTACTCTTAATCTCCACATTCAGTGCCTGTGAATCTAATATGGATGCTGTGGTACTTTCATCGATGACACTTGCCACAGCTGCTTGTGTTACAGAGGGCTGAGAGGCTATGGTACCCACATTCAGTGCATACTCCCTACTGTTGTTACTTGCTGCTTGGAGATACCGCTTCTTCTTCAAAAATTGCATGGCATCATCATAATTGGTACTGCTATGCACAGGTTTACTGGGACCCTCTTGCAAATTATCAACCTGATCAATGTCAGCATTGCCCTCTGAGTCCAGCAAAGCTTGTTTATCCACAAGTTCAAAAGCATACTTTGAAACTTTGCTCTCTTCATATGTAGATAAAGGTGAAATTGTTTGATTTTGCTCCAGTGGCTGTTTTAGGCTTCTCTTACTGTTAATTTTTTTGAGAACCAACTTAGGCGGATGTATTTCTCCTGATGCATCTTCTAAATGTGATCCCCCCACGGAAGAATGTGGCATTTCAACAGCATACTCTGCTACCATATACTCATCTTTTACTTTAGTACTTGAAGAATAAAGAGGCAAATAATCATTTTTGTCTTTCTTCAGATCAGATTTGTCCAAAGCACTCTCTTTGTCCATCCCAGATGATTTTTTCTCAGTTTTCTGCCTTTTCTTTTTTGGCAGTGAGTTATCTTTTGGTGATGTAGAAAAGCCAGAATCTTCCTCCGATGTCAGAAGGCCACCTTTGATGGCACATCTGTTCAGTTTTTTGTCATGATTTTCATGGCACATACGTTTATGTTTCAATACACGATCTGTTCTAGAAAAATACTGTCGAATTCAGAGGTCAGTAGTGAGTTTTTGTTTTGGTCAACCAAGAAAAGAAAAGAAAAAGAAAGAAAAGAAAAAAGCAATTAATACAAAGATAGGCAGGAGTATAAAAATATAAGCAATTCCTAACTAATTCGCTGAGCCACTAATCTGTTATAAGTCTAATCAACACTTAGGACATTCTTCAAGTAGTTCTAGTCGCAATAGTTTCTAATTAACTAGAATTACTTTATAATTTAATTTAGGATAGAAGAATTTTCAAGTGTCAACCATACCTCATTAAAGTGGATTTTAAAATAAAAATTTCAAACCAACTCTTACCTGTAAACAGTATTCACACTGGTAAGGTTTTTCTCCACTATGAGTTCTCTTATGCCTTTCCATATGATATTTTTGTATGAATCTCATACCACATTCGTCACAGCGAAATGGTTTTTCACCTAGTATACAATATAGAAAGTTTAAAACAAAACACATATTGTAAAATAATGAATCTTAACACAAAAATCTCTAAATAAATGGCTTTTGAGAGTTGTTACACTCTGCTCTTTTTAAATGACGAAAAGTCTCTCTATACTACAGGTATCTTCCAATTAAATTTTTCAATAATATTTTGCTTTATAAAAATGAAACAGATTGGCATATGCCACTGAAAAGAAAAAGCGGAAAGCAGACATCCTCAATTTCCCTGTCTTTCAATTACGTGTGTACATAAAACACTCTTCATGGAGACCAGCAGTACCAGGAACTTAGAGCAATATGAACATTGTGTCAGTAGAGTAACTGATGCTTTTTATAATCACACAAAATAATATTTTAAGAAGATTTTTGAGAAAAAAATGTTACTCATATGTATTCCAACACAATTCTCGGGTATAACCTTTTTAATTCTATACTTATTTTAAAATATTATTTGTGGTTAAATAAAATTGAAATCCTAGGAAAATATTCTTGAAAATCTAATTACTCAAAGAGAAGAGTTTAGACTAGAGACTAAGTTTTAAAAGTACAAGTCTGATTTTCGTTTTCTCAACTCAAACCAGCATTGCTCATGTCCTTTTGGGAATGAATTAAATGAGCACTGTTAAATTAGGGACATACACACACCCCCCCCAGACACTCTTAAAAAAAAAAAAAAAAACTCATAAAGGCATCTTACCTGTAAGGAACTATTAACATGGAGATCTAAAATAATTTATATTTATAAAACCACACAGGTGCCAAGACACTTCAGTGGGAAAAGAACAGTCTTCTCAACAGTGATGCTGGGGCAATTTGATACCCAAATACAAAAGAATGAAGTTGGACCCCTCTCTCACCTCCTACACAAAAATTAACTCAAAATGGATCATAGGCCTAAATGTGAGAATTAAAACTATTAGAACACAACACAGGAAAAAATCTTGACCTTGGATTAGGCTATGATTTCTCAGATCTGACACCAAAAGCCCAAGCAACCAAACAAAAAATACAATGTACTTCATCCAAATTAAAAACTTATGTGCCTCAAAGAACACTATCAAGAAAGTGAGAGAGAAAATGGTGTAGCTGCTGTGGGAAATAGTCTGGAGGTCCCTCAAAACATTAAGCATAGAATTACCGTATGATCCAACAATTCTACTCTTAGGTACTTACCCAAAAGAACTGAAACAGGACTCATTCAGACAATAACCAAAAGACGGAAGCAACCCAAGTGTCCACCAACAGGTGAATGAATAAAATAGGATATATACATGCAATGGAATACTATTCAGCCATAAAAGAAATGAAATTCTGATATATGCCACCACATGGATGACCTTGCAAATACTATGCTAAGTGAAAGTAACCAGATATAAAAAGGACAAAAACTGACTGATTCCACTTACATGAGGTACCTAGAGTAGGAAAATTCACAGAGACAGAAAGTAGAATAGAAGTTAGCAGGGACTGGGGGAAAGAGGAAACAAAAGAGTTATTCATGGCTTAATGGTTCCAGATTTTTGTTTGGTTACATGTAGTAAATGTAGTAAATGTACTTGATGCCACTAAAATATGAAAAACTTCAGGTTATGGTTTAACAAAAAACTAAAAAGACATGAAATGGGATAAAATATCTGCAAATCATACATCTGATAAGGGATGTGTATCTAGTTTACAGAAAGAACTCTTACAACAGTAAAAAGAAAAATAATCTAATTTAAAAACAGGCAAAGGATCCAAATGGACATTTCTCCAAAGGAAACATACAAATAGCCAATAAAAACATGGAAAAATGCTCGATATCATTACTCATTAAGGGAGTACAAATCAAGACCACCAATAACAATTCACACCCAACAGGATAAATAAAATAAAAAAGACAGACAACACGTGTTAGCATGGATGTAGAGAAATTAGAACTCTCATACATAACTGGTAGAATTATAAAAGGGGTGCAACTGCTTTGGAAAATAATTTTGTAGATCCTTAAAATGTTAAAAGCAAATTTATCATATGACTCAGCAATTCCACTCCAAAGCATATACGCAAGAGAACTGAAAAGGTATACTCACATACAGCTGTATACACAAATATTCATAGCAGCATTATTCGTAACAGCCAAAAAGTAAGAATTCAAATCTCTATCAACTGATGAATAAACAAAATGTGGTGTATATATAATGTTCAGCTATAAAAATGAATAAAGTAATGCTACAACATGAATGAACTTTAAAACCCTATCCTAAGTGGATGAAGCTACACACAAAAGACTACCTACTGTATTATTCCATTTATATGGAATGTCCAGAATAGGCAAACCCAAAGAGAGAAAAGAAATTAAAGATTGCCTGATACAGTGGGAAAAAGTACAGGATTTTAGAGTGACAAAAATCTTCTGAAAAGTAGATTGTGGTGATTGTTGTACTGCTCTGTGAACATACAAGGTCTGTCTAGAAAGAGTCCAGCCATTGTTAATATAATGAGAATGGTTTGTGTGACATCAGTGTAACCTGATAGCCATGGAGAGTTGACAAGAATGCATAAACAACAACTTCACTATACTGGTCAGTGGGGATAGTAGATGCTGTTGAGTGAGCATGGAGTACAGTGTGGCTGTCCATTCAAAATGGCTGAGCAAGTAGAGCAACAAATTTTGCTTTAAGCTTGAACATTCCTCTGTGGAAACTATTCGGATAATTCAGAAGGCTACAACTATGGGCAACTGGTGATTGGCAGCTTCATCATGACAACATGCTCCCTCATGCATCATGTCTTGTGCAGAGTTTTCTGGTGAAACATCGAATCACCCAGGTGACTCAGTGCCCCCATAGCCCTGATTTGGTGCCCTGCAACTTCCGACTTTTCCCAAAACTAAAATCGCCTTTAAAGGGAAGAAATTTCAGACCTCTGATAAGATTCAGGAAAATATGATGGGGCAGCTAATGGCAACTGGGAGAACTGCGTGAGGTCACAAGGTGCCTACTTTGAAAGGGACTGAGGTGTCACTGTCCTTTGGACAATGTTTCTTGTATCTTCTTCAGTAAATGCCTCTATTTTTCATATTACATGGATGGATACCTTCTAGACAGACCTCATATTATAATATAAACTATTGAACTACACACTTTAAAGGGGTAGGCATTGGGGCAAGATTTGGGAAACAGCTTTCTCCCAGACAGAAGTGCTTGCAGAGGCAATTGTTCCTTTTCTGAGCCCTCCCCTAAGGAGAAGGCAGAGGGCTGCCATATCTGAGACTCCATCTACCTGGTTCACAGTTTGCCCCACCCTGATGACTCTCTGAAGGTCTGCCACACACAACTTTTGGGCCCAGCCAAGCTCTTTCCAGTGGCTTTTCCATATGAATGGTTTGTTTCAGCTCATGCTTCACTGGGGGCAGCATCTGGCCTCAGTGAACCCTGTACCTCTTACTAAATGGCCCCAGGCTAGCACTAGCAGCAGCTGGCCTTGGTTCACAGGTTGGCCTTGCTTGGCCACCTCCAAGCCCAGCACAAGTAGCAGCCATCTGCAGACTGCTTTGTAGCTGACGCCAGGTGTTTCTGGACAGAAGACAGGTAAGAGCTGACCTTGGCCTGCACCTCCTGGGAGCCCCAGAGCCTGTGCATCCAATGGACAGATAGAGACCATGTCAGATCACCACCATCCAACCACCTCCACAAGTGACATACCCAAGGGGTGAACTCGGTGGGCACCTGAGCCCTGCTGAAGTCAGTACTGCTCTGTGGAGTGATCCCCTGCACAGCTAATCCTCCACAGTGGTAAGAAGTGGGTTGTCAATGGTCACAGCCAGTCCCTGCCATCTGATCAGCTGGGGTAGAACCCTCCCACTGACCTGTCAACAGTAATCAAGGTTCAACTACAAGTGGAGGGTGTACACACCTCAAGTACGCAGCTTGGATGATAAGGGAGGCTGTGCCACTGTATCCTACTGGACACCTACTATATTAGGTCATTCTACCAAGCTTCGGAGTCACAGCAGCTCTACCTAATACAAATAGAGGGAGGCTGCCAAAATGAAGGGACAAAGACACCATCCCCCACCCCCACCCAAAAGAACAGAACAAAACTCGAGAGAAAGAATTAAACAAAATAGAGACAAGCTATCTACTAGATGCAGAGCATCATAATAAGTATGCTCAATGAACTTAGGGGAAGAGCGAACTCAGGAAGAACTTCAACAGCATAAAAAAAAGGATCTGGAAACCATAAAAAAGAACTAGACAAAAATGAAGGATACACTAATTGAAATGAAGAATAGTTTACAAGGAGTCAGCAGTAGAGTACATGAAGCCAAGAATCCAATCAGTGATATGGAATATAAGGAAGCAAAAATACCCAATCAGAACAGCAAGAAAAAAGAATCCAATAAAATGAGGGCAGTGTAAGGAGCCTCTGGGACAAATTCAAACATTATCAACATCTGCATCATAGGGATGTCAGAAGGAGAAGAAAGAGAACAAGATATTGAAAACCTATTGAAATAACTAAATGACAGAAAACTCCCCTACACTGGTGAAGGAAATAGACTTACAAGTCCAGGAAGCACAGAATCCCAAACAAGATGGATGCAAAGAGGACCACACCAAGACATATCATAATTTAAATGCCAAAGGTTAAAGATAAAGAGAGAATCTTAAAAGTAGCCAGGGAAAAGCAGAGTAACCTACAAGGGAACTCCCATTGAACTGTTAGCTGATTTCTCAAAAGAAACTCCACAGGCCAGAAGGACTGGCAAGAAATTTCAAAGTGATAAAAAGCAAGGACCTACAACCAAGATTACTCTATCCAGCAAAGCTATCATTTAGAATCAAGGACAGATAAAGAGCTTCTCAGAAAAAGCTAAAAGAGTTCATTACGAACAAACTACCATATTTTGCCATGTATAAGGTGCTCCCATGTAAAATGAGCAGCCACATTTTTGTGTGTGCATTATACATGGGATTATTTTACCCATGGAATG